AGTTAAGGAAGGCAGAGCTGGCGGGGCACAGTGGCTCATGCCTGTAATCCCAGCCCTTCGGGAGGCCGAGGCAGGAGGATTGCTTGAGCCCAGGAGCAGGAGACCAGCTTGGGCAACATGGAGAAACCCTGACTCTACAAAAACTACAAAAATTGCCAGGCACAGTGCCTCACACCTGTAATCCTAGCACTTTGGGAGGCCAAGGTGAGTGAATCATGAGGTCAGGAGTTCAAGACTAACGTGGCCAACATGGTGAAACCCCATCTACACTAAAAATACAAAAAATTAGCAGAGTGTGGTGGCGGGCGATTATAATCCCAGCTGCTTGGGAGGCTGAGGCAGGTTCATTTGAACCTGGGAGGCAGAGGTTGCAGTGAGCCGAGATCGTGCCATTGCACTCCACCCTGGGCGACAAGAGCAAAACTCTGTCTCGGGGGCGGGAAAGAAATGCCCGGCGAGGTGGCTCATGCCTATAATCCCAGCACTTTGGGAGACTGGTAGATCACGAGGTCAGGAGTTCAAAGACAAGCCTGGCCAAAATGGTGAAACCTTGTCTCTACTAAAACTACAAAAAGTAGCCAGTCACAGTGGCAGGCACAAGTATTTCCAGCTACTCTAGAGGCTGAGGCAGGAGAATCACTGGCACCCGGGTGGCAGAGGTTGCAGTGTGCCAAGATCATGCCACTGCACACCAGCCAGGTGAAAGAGTGAGACTCCGTCTCAAAAAATAAAAATAAAAAACTACAAAAACTGGCTGGGCATGGTGGTGCATAGCTGTAATTCCAGCTACTTGGGAGGCTGAGGCAGGAGAATTGCTTGAACCTGAGAGGCAGAGGTTGCAGTGAGCCGAGATCTCGCCATTGCACTCCACTGCACTCCAGCCTGGGCAACAAGAGGGAAACCCTGTCTCAAAAAAAAAACAAAAAAAACAAACAAACACAAGCCCCAGTATGGATGTATCTTGAGGACATCAAGCTCAATGAAAGATGCCAGACACAGAAGCCACACAGTGTGTGATCCCATCCCTATGAATGTCCAGGACAGGCTCATCCACAGAGACAGGAAATGATTTGTGGTTACCAGGAGCAGGGGATTTGGAGAGATGGAGAGTGACAGCTAATTGGATTTGAGGGGTGTGGAAAATGTTCAGGAATTAGATAGCGGTGATGGTTGCACAACCTTGTGGACACACTGAAAACCCTGAATTTTACACTGTGAATGGGTGAATGGTGGGATCTGTGAATTATGCTTTTTGGGTTTTCTTTGAAAAGGAGTCTGGCTCTCTTGCCCAGGCTGGAGTGCAGTGGCACAATTGCAGCTCACTGCAACCTCCACTTCCTGGGTTCAGGTGATTTTCCTGCCTCAGCCTCCCGAGTAGCTGGGATTACAGGAGCTCACCACCACGCCTGGTTAATTTTTGTATTTTTAGTAGAGATGGAATTTCACCATGATGGCCAGACTGGTCTCGAGCTACTGACCTCAGGTCATCTGCCCACCTCAGCCTCCCAAAGTGCTGGGATTACAGGCATGAGTCACTGTGCCCAGCCAATGTGAATTATATATATTAAAAAAAAAAAAAAAAAGCAACGAGGCCAGGCATGGTGGCTCAAGTCTCTAATCCCAGCACTTTGCGGGGCTGATGCAGGTGGATCACAAGGTCAGGAGTTCAAGACCAACCTGGCCAACATGGCGAAACCCCGTATCTCCTAAAAATATAAAAATTAGCCAGGCAGGGTGGCACACACCTGTAATCCCAGCTATTAGGGAGGCTGAGGCAGGAGAATCATGTGAACCCGAGATGCAGAAGTTGCAGTGAGCCAAGATCGTGCCTCTGCACTCCAGCCTGGGTGCAGACTAGCTAGACTCAGCCTCAAAAACAAAAAAATAACAACAAAGCAAAACAAAAAGAACCAAAATCAGTGCCTGGCCGTAAGCGCTTAACAGGAGCTTATTCTTTCATGTACCGGGTGAGAAAACATCCTCGTCATCAGCCAATATCTGACAGCCTGGGATTCTGGAAGCCGGAAGAATCTCTGGTGGATAGTTCCCTGGGCCCCATCCACCCTGGAGGAGTCCCCCATCAACTGCCTCTCAGATTGTGAATGCTGGGGAAGGAGGGTCCCGCTGTCCAGCCCACCTCCTTGTTATTGCCCACTCCATGACCACCTCCTGGTTGCCTTCCCTGGTTTCCCTCCTCTCCTGGCCAGAAATCCAAAGCTTACAGTCAGGGGCGGTGGCTCAGGCCTGTAATCCCAGCACTCTGGGAGGCCGAAGTGCTGGGATTACACTTCCAGCACTTAGGGAGGCAGGAGGGTCGCCTGAAGACAGGAGTTCAAGAATAGCCCAGGAAACATAGCGAGACCTTGTCTCTAAAAAAAAAAAATTAGCTGGGTGTGATGGTGTGCACCTGTAGTCCTAGCTACCAGGAGGCTGAGATGGGAGGATTGCTTGAAACCAGGATGTTGAGGCTGCAGTGAGCTGTGATTGCAACACTACACTCCAGTCTGGGCAAAATAGGGAGACACTGTTTTTATAAAAACAAAAAATTACCGGGGTCTGGTGGTGTGCACCTGTAGTCCTAGCTACCCGGAGGCTGAGATGGAAGGATTTCTTGAGCCCAGGATGTTGAGGCTGCAGCAAGCTATGATTGCAATGCTGCACCCCAGCCTGGGCAATAGAGTGAGACCTTTCTCAAAAAAAAAGAAAAAGAAAAGAAAAAGAGAAAACCCAAGCTCACGAGTTTATACGGCTGATTTAAGGTCACAGGGCAAGGTGATCGGACCTCCAGCCTGGATCTCTTTCTCCTTTACTTCCTTCTACCCCTCCCCGCAAGCTTCTCCCCACTCCCCCCCTTGGGGTAAGGTGAGGGGAAGCCCCAGGAGAAGCCAGCTCCAATGCACAGGGAAGTCAAACGTTTGATTCTGGTCCCAGGGCCTCTAATTACTATTCCTAACACAGACTGTAATTAGAAGGTCCCTTTCAACTATTTATACCTCAGATATCTAGTTCTATCCGGCAGGGAGATGAGTCGGATTTGATGAGATCTGTCACAGCTCATCCCCCTGCCCCGGAATTGCATTGCAGTTGACAGAAAGCAAGACAATTACACGCTGTGCTCCCTGGCTGCCCCAAGGGTACGCTGCCTAGTCAGGGATGATCACTGATCAGATAGGGTTGGGCGGAAGTGGGGGTGGCCATGCACTTCCAGAAAGAGAAAGGAGTTCAACAGGTTTGTGTTGGAGGACACAGTCAGTGCAGGGAAGGGAGGAACAGAAGGGTCTAGATGCCTGCAGCCTTCAGGGGCTTTGCTTTGTTGGCTCCAGGTCTGTTTCCCCATCGGGAAAATGGAGCTCATCTTGGAGAGGAGTTGCAGAGCTGATTCCCTGAAGAGACACCAGGCTGGGCGCGGTGGCTCATGCGTGTAATCCCAGCACTTTGGGAGGCGAAGGTGGGTGGATCATTTGAGGTCAGGAGTTAGAGACCAGCCTGGTCAACATGGTAAAACCCCTGCCTCTACTAAAAATACAAAAATTAGCCCGGTGTGGCGGTGGGTGCCTGTAACCCCAGCTACTCAGGAGGCTGAGGCAGGAGAATTGATTGAATCTGGGAGGCGGAGGTTGCAATGAGCAGAGATCGATCGGGCTGCTGCACTCCAGCATGGATGACAGAGCGAGACTCCATCTCAAAAAAAAAAGAGAGAGAGACTCCAGTGCCACCTAGGCCAGTCCCCATGGCTATGTCCAGGTAGAATGAGCTGTGGAGTGGCTCTGAATAAGTCCCTCCTGGCTCTGTGCCTCAGTTTCCCCATTGGTAAAATGAGAAAGCTGGGTGATAACTTGCCCTCTGCTGGGATCCTTCCTCAAGCTGTCTGGGTTTTTCTGGTAGAAACCACATCTTTCAAATAAGGAAACCAAGACTCAGCAAGTGACAGACCCAGCCCCTAGCCCCGGGTCCTGCCAGGAGGCCCAGTCATAGCAGCGTTGGTTCTGACTTCTTTCTTGTCTTCCAACTGTCCCCTCCAAGCTATAACCTGCACCAACCAGGGGGATGGGGATGGCCACAAGACGAGAGAATCTGGGGTCCCATCCTTCCTGACCACCCCTCTCTCACTCCAGCCATTAGGAGGAACTGGACAAGCCCCCTTCGGAGAAGGTAAAAAAAAATTGGTTCTGCCCTGGAAAATTGGCCAATGGCCCCCTTTTTCTCTACCACCCCCAAAACCTCTCACTCTTACCCTCAGACAAGGGCCGCTGACAACAGGCAGCCAGGACAGGCCAGACCCCTCTCACTTCTGTCCCTCTTCACCCCCCCTCCCAGAAGCCAGAAAGGGACAGATGTCCAGGACAGGCTCCAGACACAGATACCATCTCCCTTCCCCAGGCCAGCTGCCCCAAACCCTCCCCCTGCCCGCAATTAGTCCCGGGGTGGGTTGTGGGGGGCGGTGCAGAGCGGAGCCCTCTTGGAGGACAGGAAGCCCGATCCCCATCCTCCCTTCCTTTGCCCGCCTCTTCCTTCTCGCTGAGTCAATATCAATTCAGCCAGTGACCTCGCCACCAATTTCCACACCCCCACTCTCCTGGTCAGTTTCATCCCCAGACATCGGTTCCATTTCGACCTTCCGTGTTGGCCATTCCCACCCCCATCTGCTGGCTGTCACCCCTTCTGGCTGTCAAGTCCAGTCCTCCATTTCCCCGTCAATTTCCCCTTGCCCTCCATCTACCCCTCCCCAGCTGTGTCCTTCCCAGCGGGTCCCCACCTCCGGCACTCCGCGCTCGCTGGGGCCAGCCTCGGGAGTCCGGGTCAGTGTCCAGCTGCCTTGGCCTCGGCCCCGGATACTGCCGCCCCCGGCCCCCCTTCCCTCGGCGGGCAGCGGCTCCCTCCCTCCCCAGAACAGCTGAAGGTCTCAGTCACTTGGGAGGGGAGCGCAGGGGGAGGGGAGAGGCGGGGGACACGGAGGAGGGGAGGCGGGGGAGCCTTGACGCAGCTGCCCCGGACGCGGCCCGCGGCTGGTGGGAACCTGGCCTTGCTCTCGAGCGCCTCCTCCCCAGCGTCCCACCTCCCAGCCGCCCGCTGGCGGCGGCGTGGAAAGGCTCTCCGAAAGCGTGAAAGGGGATTGAAGAAGGTTCTTATTTATCTTTGTGCGGGTGGCTGGGGCCGGATCGAGGCGGCCCTGCTGGTGGCCCCGGGATTGGGGCTCCCCGCTGAGTCGAGAGGAGCGCGACAAAGGATGCTTCCCGCCGGGGTCACCGTCTCGGCGCCCCAACTTTGAGCGCGGCGCCCGCGCGCCTGGGGAGCCCGCCAGCTGCGCTGAGATCCCCGGCGTCCAGGCTGGGCAAGGGGCCGGGAGCGTCTGTAGGCGGCGCTGGCCCAGATCTCCGGAACCCAGGAAGGGGTCCCCGAGCTTTGCGGAGGCGGCGGGCGGCCGAGCCGCGCCAGGGAACCGCGCTGCCCTCGGAAACTCCGCGCCTCTCTGCGGATGCCCCTCGCCCTGACCCCCAGCGAGACGCGTTCAGGGCCCTGCGGGGCGCCCCTTTCCTCGCGGTGCTTCCCCAACCTGACTAAGGTGGGTTTGTCCTCCTCCCTCCTCCGTTGCCTCCTTTTCCTCCCCCTCCTTCACTTTTTCCTTCCCTCTATCCATCCAGAGCCCCGCCGCAGGGCGCACCTGACCTTTCTCCTCTTTCCCTGCTCTTCCTCTCCTCCTCCTCTTCCTCCTCCTCCCTGGGGAAAGGGGCCCGGAGAAGCGCATGTGTGGGTCCCTCTGACAGTGGCCGGATTGGGAGTGACAGGCACCCAAATGGCCAAGTGGCCATCGGACTACCTGAGCTGTGGCGGTCGGAGGCCCCCTCCGCAGCCGCCCACCCCGGACTACACCGAGAGCGACATCCTGAGGGCCTACCCGGAGCAGAAGAGCCTGGACTTCAAGGATCCCTATGAGGACGGCGGAGAGCCGCTTGGAGCTGGACCCCGCGGGCCCAGGGGACTTCAAGAACCCAAGAGATGCTAAGTATGGCTCTCCCAAGCACCGGCTCATCAAGGTCGAGGCTGCGTATATGGCCAGAGCCAAGGCCCTTCTGCGCGGCCCCGGGGAGGAGGTGCGTGGCTGGGTGGCCCCAGGAGACTGGGTGGAGAGGAGGCTCAGGTTGGGCTCCCTGGATCGTGGAGAGCTTGTTTTATGTGTGATCACAGAGGGGCCGGGGGCACCAGACAGGCCCTTCCCAGTCCTCCACCTGCTTGGGGAGGTCTGTTCTTTTTTTTTTTTTTTTTGAGACAGAGAGACAGAGCAGGGTCTCCCTCTGTCGCCCAGGCTGGAGTACAGTGGTCGGATCTTGGCTCACTGCAACTTCTGCCTCTCCGGTTCAAGTGAATTCTCTCACCTCAGTCTCCCAAGTAGCTGGGATTACAGGTGTGCACCACCACGACCGGCTAAGTTTTGTATTTTCAGTAGAGCCGGGATTTCACAGCTTTGGTCAGGATCGTCTGGAACTCCTGACCTCAGATGATCCTCCTGCCTCGGCCTCCCAAAGTGCTGGGATTACAGGTGTGAGCCACCGCACCTGGCTGATATCTGTCCTCCTGCCTCTCTGAGCACCCTGCTTGGTCTCCAGGTCCTCCTCCTCCATGGCCACCCCCACGGCCCTCCAATCCTCTCTCCTTAGCACCCCTTCCTCTTTGAACGTGGTGGGACCTTCCTAAAACAGATCTGAGGGAGTGGCTCCCCTGCTGGGCATGTAAACATCCACCCTGTGATTCTGCCCTTCCAACCACTATGTTTACATTTTGCAGAAGTGGAAACTGAGGCTCGCAGAAGAGCAGTGACTTCCCCAAGGTCTCATAGGGTTCTAGCTTACCAAGATTTGAACTCAGGCCACCAGGAGCAGTAGCTCATGCCTGTAATCTCAGCAGTTTGGGAGGTCGAGGTGGGAGGATTGCTTGACTCCAGGAGTTCAAGACCAGTCCTGGCTAACAGAGTGAGACCTTGTCTCTTCCCCCCCTCCCCCAAAAATCAAAATATTAACCAGTTGTGGTGGCGCACATCTGTAGTCCCAGCTACTCAGGAGGCGCAGGCTTGAGGATCACTGGAGCCTAGGAGGTCAAGCCTGCAGTGAGTCATGATTGAGCCACTCCACTCCAGCCTGGGTGACAGAGCAAGACCCTGCATAAAAAAAAAATGCCAGGCACGGTGGCTCACACCTGTAATCCCAGCACTTAGGGAGGCCGAGGCGGGAGGATCATCTGAGGTCATGAATTCAAGACCAGCCTGGCCAAAATGGTGAAAACGTATCTCCACCAAAAATACAAAAATTAGCTGGACATGGTGGCAGGCGCCTGTAGTCCCAGCTACTCCAGAGTCTGAGGCAGAAGAACTGTTTGAACCCAGGAGGTGGAGGTTGCAGTGAGCAGGATCACACCACTGCATACTTCTGCCTGGGCGACAGAGTGAGACCCTGTCTCAAAAGAATAAATAAATAAAATAAAAACTCTTTGTCGGGAGCAGTGGCTCACACCTGTAATCCCAGCACTTTGGGAGGCCAAAGCAGGCAAATCACGAGGTCAGCAGTACGATACCAGGCTGGCCAATATGGTGAAACCCTGTCTGTACTAAAAATACAAAAATTAGCAGGGCATGGTGGCACAACCCAGCTACTCAGGAGGCTGAGGCAGGAGAACTGCTTGAACCTGGAGGCAGAGGTTGCAGGATCCGGGATCTGGATACTGTACTCCAGCCTGGGTGACAGAGAGAGACTCCATCTCAAAAACAAAACAAAACACAAAACACTTCTTGGGCCAGTGTGGTGGCCAGGCAAGAGATCCACCTATCTTGGCCTCCCAAAGTGCTGGAATTATAGACAGGTATGGGTCACCACACCTGGCCTCTTATTACTACTTTTTTTTTTTGGGGACGGAGTCTCGCTCCATCACCCAGGTGGGGTTCAGTGGCACCATATCTGTTCACTGCAGGCTTTGCCTCCCAGGTTCAAAGGATTCTCATACCTCAGCCTCCCTAGTACCTGGGATCACAGGCACCCACCACCATGCCTGACTAATTGTTGTATTGTCAGTGGAGACAGGGTTTCGCTATGTTGGCCAGGCTGGTCTTGAGCTCCTAACCTCAGGTGATCCACCTTCCTCAGCCTCCCAAAGTGCTGGGATTACAGGCATGAGCCATGGCACCTGGCCTTATTTTTATTTTTATTTTTTGAGATGGGGTCACCTAGGCTGGAGTGCAGCGGCACAATTATGGCTCACTGCAGCCTCCACCTCCCAGACTCAAGCAATCCTCTTGCCTCAGCCTCACAAGTAGCTCGGATTACAGATGTGTACCATCACACCTGTCTAATTTTTGCATTTTATGTAGAGACAGGGTTCCGCTATACAGTCCATGCTGGTCTCAATCTCCTAGACTCAAGCAGTTTATCCACCTCAGCTTCCCATAGTGCTGGGACTAGAGCTATGGGCCACCATGCCTGGCCCTGGCTAATTTTTAAAAGAATGGTTTTTTTTTGAGACAGAGACTCGCTCAGCTGCTCAGGCCGGAGGGCAGTGGCTCAATCTCCGCTCACTGCAACCATTGTCTCCCAGGTTCAAGCGATTCTCCCATCTCAGCCTCCTGAGTAGCTAGGATTACAGGTGAACACCCCCACGCCCAGCTAATTTTTTTTTCTTGTTCTGTCACCCAGCTGGAGTACAGTGGTGTGATCTTGGCTCACTGCAACTTTCGACACCCAGTTTCAAGCAATTCTCCTGCCTCAGCCTCCCAAATAGGTGGGACTACAGGCGCAGGCCACCAAGCCTGGCTAATTTTTTGTATTTTAGTAGAAACGTGGTTTCATCATGTTGGCCAGGATGGTCTTGATATCCTGACCTCGTGATCCGCCTGCCTTGGCCTCTAATAGTGCTGGGATTGTAGGCCTGAGCCACCATACCTGGCCTAATTTTTATATTTTAGTAAAGATGATAGTTCACTATGTTGGCCAGGCTGGCCTCAAACTCCTGACTTCAAGTGATCCGCCTGCCTTGGCCCCTAAAGTGCTGGGATTATAGGCATGAGCCACCGCACCTGCCTAATTTTTAAATGTTTTTCTGTGGAGACGAGGATCTCACTCTGTTGCCCAGGCTGGTCTCAAACTCCTGGCCTGGAACGATCCTACAGCCTCAGCCTCCCAAATCACTGGAATTGCAGGTATAAGTAACTACACCAGCCACTGCACTGCTATTTACCGGATTTTGGTGACACAGGAGCACTAGGCCCTGGGCACTGTGGGAGGTGGCTTTGGGGGTGGTGGCTTTCTGGGTGGTGGTCTGGGGTGCTCAGGAGGCCCTTTCTCCCTATCTCCCAGGAGCAGCCAGGGGTTCCTGCACCTGAAGTTCTCGAGGACCCCAGAGAACCAGGTGGTGCTAGGCTAACACAATGGGCCCTTCCCCAGAGTGCTGGAGCTGGTTCAGGCCCCCTGCCAGTATCTGGCTCTGCTGTACCCTGTATTCATGCAGACCCCCTGACAGTGACCCTCAGCCCCTTTTTGAGTCCTTGGGCCCAGAATTGTATCCCAAAGCCCTCCCCTGGCCTAGAAAATAAATAAGTTATTGTTTGTCTTAGTGTCCTTTCTGGGCTGCAGAGGGGAGGGGGGATCACTGACTTCCAGGGGGAAAGCCCTAAGGGGTCCTGGAGAGGGGGATGAAGGGATAATCAAAACCCTGGAGGAGGCTGGGTGAGGTGGCTCACGCCTGTAATCCCAGCACTTTGGGAGGCTGAGGTGGGCGGATCACCTGAGGTTGGAGTTTGAGGCCAGCCTGACCAAACGGAGAAACTTCGTCTCTACTAAAAATAGAAAATTAGCCAGGTGTATGGTGCATGCCTGTAATCCCAGCTACTCCGGAGACTGAGGCAGGAGAATAGCTTGAACCCAGGAGGCATAGGTTGTAGTAAGCCGAGATCACGCCATTGCATCCCAGATTGAGTGAAAAGAGCAAAACTCCCTCTCAAAAAAAAAAAAAAAAAAAAAAGGCTGGGGGCAGGTGGCTCTGTAATCCCAGCACTTCACTTTGGGAGGCCGAGGCCCGCAGATTGCCTTTGCTCAGGAGTTCGAGACCAGCCTGGGCAACACGATGAAAACCCATCTCTACTAAAATACAAAAAATTAGCCAGGTATGGTGGCATGCGAGTAGTCCCAGCTACTCGGAAGCCTGAGGCAGGAGAATTGCTTGAGCCTGGGAGGCATAGGTTCCAATGAGCTGAGATCACACCACTACACTCCAGCCTGGGGGACAGAGTGAGACTCCATTCTCAAAAAAA